CACCTTAAACTTCCACAGTATGGAATGTACCGTAGCGTACCTTGTGCAACGCTTTGGAACCAGCCAATGAAACGGCCGATTGACGACACTTCAGCAGTCTAGTGAACGCTTCTTGCTCGTCCATTATGTGCTTAAATGGCACACCAACTATTTTCAGGAACCCGCCTCCTGCAAACAAACAAATTGATCAATCAATAAATCAGATCAGATCAGTTCCGTTCGATCAGATCAATCACCAATAAATTGAGTCAATCAAAACCTTTTCCGGCCGATCCACTCGTCAACATGAGCACATCGCATCCGCACTCATGAAAGTTGTGTAGGTGCTCAAAAATCCGGACGGTATGCTCAATGCAGTCGGAATGTTCAAATGACACAACAACCGATATCAGTGTCATATCATAGGCACTATCTTCTAGGAATGCCTTCAGTGTACTTCGTCGTTTCACCGTTGTTGTTGTTGTGGCCGTCTGTTCAGTCAATTGCAAACCTGAAATTAATTTTGATTGCAAAAATCTTTTTTTACAACCTCAAACTTACAATAACCTGAAATCGGAAACCTCAAATTGCCAGGTAAACCTGAAATTAAAGCAAAAATTCAAAAAAAAATCATTCTGGAACTCACTATGAGACTGGTTGTCGGCGAGATCATCCAGCGAATGCGTTGCAAAAACCCTATCCAACTGGCTATCCACCCGGCCCAAGAAAGCATCCCATCGATCGAACAACTCACTGACTTTCGCCAGTGAATCCTCTGAAATGATCCGTTCATTCGACCAATCAGTCAATCGATCGTAAATCTCTTAGAGCAGCAATATGATTCCAACTGATCAATCTTCAAGTTCTCCTAGTTCTAAGCTCATGATCACGATGATCATTCAAACAAATCCTGACGATTACTGCATTGTTATTACTGGAAACGTATCTGAAGAATGATGTTGGGATAAATCGGTGATCTCTTATTTATTGTTTGCGGTTTCTTGTGTGTCTCTCTACAGTGCTTTGCA